GAACCTGAATAATTCAAAAATATTTTAGTATTAATAATTTGTTCATTTGTAATATTTAACTTAATGTGAATTGCAAAAAACAAAATTTTCAAATAAATGAGACTAAAACGACACTTGAACGTATATATACAATTAAAAGGAGTACAACATTAAAATAATTGCACATTAGATTAATTTATTTTAAAAAAGACTACCCCTAAAAAGACTTTACATGTTTCAGTATTCCATGTAAAGTCTTTTTTAGGGCTGGTGTTAATTTTTAATAAATTATTTATTGTGTAATTATTTCAATGTTATACTCCTCTTAATTGTACAAATGTTCAAACTTTAACTTTGTAAACAAACTGTTCAAACTCACATTTTTTTTTGCCAGTAAATAACATACTCATTTTTTTTAGAATATTTTTGTCCCATCCCAGATTAACATTTAATAAGAAACTCCATCACCCTTTGAAATTATCATTAGCCATGCCTTATTTCTTAAATGATTTCCATTCTCTGTTTGAGATTTTATTATTACAGTCCCTCGTTTCCACCCTTTTGTGATGTCACAGTATGTAATCCGAGCAATCACTACTGAAGCTTAGCCTTGGAAACAGATATAGGCTAAATTTAAATACCATTAAATAAAGGCTATTATGAGTTATTTATATCAATACTGATTAAATAAAGTGCTATTGTTTTGTAGGGAAGTGACTAGATGGAGTTCCTGAGAATATGAACAAAGGAATCTAATGAAAAGATTTAGGAACAAATTACAGATCTGAACATTTATTTATAATTTCTTTAAGATGTTCTTTTTATTTTTGTGTTATGTTACATTTGTTTGAAAATACATAAATTTCCTTCTACTTTTTTTCTTTAAAACCAAAATGTTTCCAAAATAAAGTTTCGTTTAATACTCAGAGAAAAAGCCTTGTAAAGTACAATTTACTTATGCTGTGGAACATGTAGTTTACTTACTAAATAGCTAGAATGTGTAGTTTCTAAACGTTTTTTTTAATGATAAGTGGCAAATTCCATGTACAATTTACTTATGCTGTGGAACATGTAGTTTACTTACTAAATAGCTAGAATGTGTAGTTTCTAAACGTTTTTTTTAATGATAAGTGGCAAATTCCATGTACAATTTACACATATCCTAAAGATACATATTATTACACTTACTTAATGGTGTTATGCATAGTACAGTTACAAAACTATTTACAAGAAAAATCACCCGCACACAAAAAAAAGAATAAATATACCATGATGAACTTACCCAGACTCTTAGAGTTCTTTAAAACCCAAGCATAAACAAGTAATACCTCTTCTATAGCCCGTGGAAATGGAGCAGCTGGTGCAAGTGAGTAGTCAATAGAAAGTATTGGAATATCAAGATCTTTAGCCCAGTCCCGTAAGTAAATCTGAAAAGTTCAATGTTTTTAAAAACTAGCACTACATTTACAACTACAATACTCAATGCTTTTAATAGATTACCAGAATACTAGCAAGCAGGAACCAAGGCTAGAAACTAGATTGGAATCCACACTTTTAGAATGTTCTTATGTTTTTTTTAAAAAAAAACTACAAATAAAAAGGTACATACAGTCGAACCGGAAGCCCACCTAAACGCACCGCTGATGCACCAGTAGAATAGATAAGCACAGAAATAATCTAATTTAAAAAAATCTTTTATGGATGTTTGATACAAATGCTTTTTATCAAACCTTGGTTAAACCTAATGGTGCAACAGCTGTCTACTTCAACTTTTCTGTGTGTGAAAAATTATACGAGAGAAATTATGAAACTCCAATAACACAACTACATCGAAAATAATGGTGCAACAGCTGTCTGCTTCAACTTTTCTGTGTGTGAAAAATTATACGAGAGAAATTATGAAACTCCAATAACACAACTACATCGAAAATAATGGTGCAACAGCTGTCTACTTCAACTTTTCTGTGTGTGAAAAATTATACGAGAGAAATTATGAAACTCCAATAACACAACTACATCGAATACGACAATGCTTACAGGAAAAACTAGCTGCTGGTAACAATTTATCTACTTTTGAACAGAGTTAATGATATCATGCATCAAAGAAAGCCAATCTGAATCGGGTTTTCCAACTTGAGAAGAACCTTAAGAGGACACGGGTTAATTAGCCAGATCAAAAATCTTTAAAGTTTAGGTACAAAATGTCTCTGATTTTGCACAACTGAAGAAAATGGAGGAATCTGGTAAACAGCAACCACTGCCACAAGGACTTCTATTGGGCTCTTTGAACCACATGATGAAATTGGCTGTCCTTTTTATAACATATGCATGGCTGAAAATGTGGAGCACATTCATCAGCAACACCCCCCCCCCCCCACCCCCCACTATCTGCAGCCTGGCACAGTAGTCAAGAAAATAATAAATAAATAATGATTAAAATAACAAATAACAAATAAATAAATGCCTTTATGTTGGAAAAACTAATAAAATGTTTGTTGAACGTATATACTGTAGTTTACTTAAAATCTCAGGAATTATCTTTTGTGGCTTTACACTGAAACTTGTTTCGCAGGTTTTAACTTTCGTGGAAATATGAAATTGAAAATGCATTAATTTCCCATTACATAAATTTAGAAGAGAAGTTATTAGACATCATTCTGTTTTTCTAAGCAACATTTTTTATACTATAAGCCTTTGTAATCATACCGTACAACTGAACTGACGCTGTTGGTAATCCACTTATTGAAAGCAATGAACTTGTCTAGGAATGTTACGACTACAGCTTACGTCTCTTCATTGTTTGCTGTTTCCGGATTACAAGTAATTATCTGCGTATAGCATATTGAGAACAGTTACTAAAATGGCTTGGCAGGTATAAAATTTCTTTCAATTTCTTAGCAATATCAAACAGAGAACAGTCACAACTTCATTATGTACCCCTCTCAAAATGTTTTTGTGAAAATGATAAAATCGACCAACTCTCCCAAAACCAGCGGCCTCCCAAACCCACAACAGTGTACCACAGAACTTGAAACACACACCACCCTGGCTGCTAATGATGACCTGCTAAAGAAAAGTAATATTTGCTTGTATATATATATCTGTTTGGGTTTCATTTATCACTCATAAAGGCTTTTTATTTCACTGGAACTATCATTCGTGGAAATGTACATATTGCAAAAATAGTGAAAGTTAATAATAAGTAATTTACAGAATGTCAATAATGGATTATAACAAACCTGTGGATTTAGCTGGTCATGACTACCATACAAAGTTGCTACCTTAAGATATGCACCTGAGAACACACAGGAAAAAAAATTGAAAAAATTATCATTGTTAAGTTGTGCTCTTTAAATCCCAATAATATAAATGAATGAATGGTTTAATTTCTTACAAACTTCCTTTCAGTTTCTAGTCCCATCTGTCTCCTCAATTCACAAGTTTCAATATATATATATATTGGACTTTCATTACAAGTTTATTTTTGCAGCTTTAAAGCTATTGAATTATTTTTTTACCTTTATATATATTATTTAGATATATTCAAAAGCTTTCCATTTCTTCATAAGGCTGGTTACTAATTGTATTCTGTAACATTGTATTTTTGTCATTCTCTTTTAACATAGAGTTTTCTATGTTAACTACTTTGTTCAGATATACATGTAAACTATGAAAATCAGGCCTACAGAAATAACACAAACACCAAGATACAAGTTATAATGAGGGTAAGTACAAAACATATTTTGGGTTTGAAGTATCTGCGACTTTAGAACTACAATGCAGTAGGAATATGCTATACATCCACATGATTTAACTTTATTTCACATACGTTGTTTGTTAG